CCCTTGCCCATTTCTATGATATTGGTGCCATCTGATTAGTAGAACAGTGTGCATATGATAGCAGCCAAGAGTGTATTACGTACGTAATTGTTATAACTTGTAACTGTTACATAAAGATGTTCAAGATAATTATAGATGTATGTGAAGGATCTGAGAGCAATGAGGATTTTAGAAATGACGGTGGTGGTGGAGGTGATAAGTGATGATGTGGGATGGTGTTTATGTAAATGATTATTAAGAAGACATGCATCCCTTTGTTGAGGTTTTTTAAAAATGTCAGCGTTAGTCTTATCTTCCTCTGCTCCAATGAGTCACGAGGGATATGGGCACCAGCTATCCCGTTCCCTACTGGAACCATCTTTAATGTCACCATGAATTTCCGAAATGGTGGGCACAGACTCTGCTTAGGCGACCCTGTTAGTATTATATTAGCCTATTCTAGCGGGCCAAGGCAAGTGAAGAGAGGACCTTAATAGGTAGACAGTACAGTGACAGATGTGTTTGGGATTTCATAAAGGGGTCGTGGGTAGCAAGTTGACAACCAGGTTATAGTCTTAATAATGTAGTCATATTCTACTCCCTAACTATTTGTCCCAGTTATTCCTTTCTAAACTTGTTTAAACATGAAGTTTCAGAGATTCCGACACAGGATCCTTGAACCCGAATTGAGAGGGAACAATTTGTACTACAGGTGATAGTCTTGGATAGATCACTGTAGGAGCAGTAATTTCTTAACACCATCATTACTAGAGTTTATCATAATTTGAGTGGCAGGTTTTTAAGACTCAAAAATCATGTACTAGACTGGTCTCTGTCTCGTTCTTCTTAATACTTCTTCTTTGGTGATCCTGTCTGTCCATCCGACAATAGCTTTCTCAGACACTTGTTCAAGAAAACCTGGATCCTCTTTATGCACGTCTCACATCCATACAACAAAACTGACTTAACATTTGAAGTGAAAATTCTGTTCGCCTCTGTGTGTTACTGTTATTCTAAAAAGCGCTAGTAAACACGCTTATAGGTATATACATTGCGTTGAGTTGAAGCTATTATAAAGCGCTGAGAGCTATATCGTATGGGAGTGAGTGTTTTTAAAAATCATCTGCATTATCATTATTATTATTAATATTATGATGATGATGATTATTATTATTACTATTATTATTATTATTAT